GTTCACACTTAAATTTTCCAATATCAGGTTATTTCACTACAACCCTTAAAAATATCATTGCAAATGCAAAATTACGCAGCGTTTTTGTTTATGGCCATTGGTTTTGACTTGAAGATTATTATCTTCGCAATCGAAAAAATTATTTTGGAGAACATATTGCCAGTGGAGCTCATTTTACTCGTGAAAAAAAATTTCATTGCGAGGCTACCATACCTCTCGCGATGAACTCGACACAAGTGGAAAACGATCTCGACCTTTAAAAGATCATGCCACTTCACTTGTCCTACAGAAAGTGGAGGAGAAGAAAGAACCCAGTCAGAATTCTGATGATCCAAAACCAAAAGCTGAGGGTGCCGAGCTTCTTCTCAATTTAGAGAAAGGTGACTACGACGCGGCTTTAGACCAGAAAAAATTAATTAGCTAAAGTCACAAAACAACACAATATACACCTCGAACAGAATTAACAGGGTAAGAACAACGATATTGGTGAAGAAAAATCTATATTCCCATATTGAATTCAGTCTTCTAATCGAGGCAAAACGAGGTGAGGAATCTACCCACATAGAACCCAYTTCCAGAAAGACAACTAGAGAGTGCTAAGCACACCGTCGTTCTCTGATCATAGGTACATCTACCACTCTATTAAATCGGAAGCAAAGATCCGAAACGAGCTTAGAAGAAATCCCAGGAATACAAACTCTATAGGCAGATACTATTAGGCAGGAAGAGGCTTTGACTTTGCGTGTATAACTGACAGAAAGCGCTTGAAAAGGAGTGACTGCATGCTCCAAATACAGCTCTTCTCTACGCATGCCCTGCGCTGTGACTCAAGCACAAAATTGTTAATATTTCGTGCCTAACGAATTCGGGGCCATTCATCCTAACTGCTGCCGCAACTTTGCTTATTAACCAAAAGCCAATGCTTGAAAGCATAATGTGGTTAAAATGCATGTAAAAGACATCCCAAAAAGCTTACACCCGCCCAGCTTATTAAGCAAAACTTGCAGTTATGCAATGCAATAAAAACTGCCGGTTCAAAGAAAGCAAGAGTTGTATACTTATGTAATCACCAAAATGATTGTTTTCAACACTATTGCAACACAACAACAGCAAAAGCTGCAAATGTGGTGCAACATTTAAATGGCGACGCTTGAGCTAAGCARATACGAAAGATGCCAAGAGCCAACGATTTATGCAGCAACAAATGTAAAGCAACATAATTACGCCAACATTGCTGTTTGGCAAAGTGGAAAATTTTAATAGCGCAATGTTGCATGCCACATGTGTCAACGCCGCCACACGCAACGCCAGCAATCTGCGCCTTTTCATCTTCACCTTTCACTAACTTCGGCGCACCATTATATTCGTGTGTGTTCGTTAGTTTCAAAGTGTTTTTGTATTTGTGTGTGTGCGTGTGTGTGTTTGTTGTGTAAAAATTCACTGCAAAATTTTATTGCTTTGACATTTTAGCTTTTATGTGGCGCATCGGTGCGCTACTGGCAATTTATATTGTCTGCCATTCAATTGCAAACGATTGCTAATGTTGTTGTTTGCTATTGTAGTTATATTTTTTGTTGTTGCATGCATATTATTTGGTCTAGACGCGTTGTGTGTGCGCGCGCATCATAAAGTATGCGGCGAGTGTCATGCGCCTGCGCATAATAAAATTACGTTAACGTTTAAGTCAATGACATGGCGCGCGGGGGCGGTGCGGCTGCCTTGCTGCACGCCGATAGTCGCTAAATTATGACGAAATATTGCATTTGCCGTCATATAAACTGTGACACAAGCATACATCACACAGTGTTTCAGTTATTTATGCGACACAGCACCGCCCGTTATACACTTATTTATCTATGCAGTTCTGTATATACATACATATATATGTTTGTATAAATAAAGGGTATATAGTTATGCATACCTTAATTATTCTGCAGTGTTATTTAATTTTCGAAACGCCTCATAAATGTAGTATTTTTGGAAATTTTATGTGTTGTTGTTGKTTGGCTATGAGTTATGTCAGCAGCGTTGGTAATTTGAAGCTAGTAGCTAACTGCCACAATACACACAAACATTTGCTGTGGTTTATTTTCTTCTTCTTAATTTTTGARTTTGTTTTACCAGCTCCGTCTTCCGCCTTGTGTGCAATTATTCTGCTCGATGTCACTAGCTAAATGACAACAACTTACACAAAGTGCATTTAACACTGCAGAAAATCAGGTGAAGCGCCTATATAACCGGTAATTATGTAAATGTGATTTTGTCATATTTTTACACTTTTTATTAGCAATTTTCGTTTGGAAATAATTTRAAATTTCATGTAACACTTAAAGGTAATTCTACTATCTTTTAAATGGAAATACATAAAATGAATGACGTGTATTTTGTGAAAATCATCTGGATGTATTTCAAAAAGGATGGCAACTCTTCTCAAAAATACTTCCAACTTTCAGGCTTCTTATATATTACTAATTTTAAATTAATATTAACATACCAATTTTTTTATTGAATTGAAAGTAGGTGGCAACTCTTCTAATAATTTTTTTCAACTGCAAGACTTCTCGTTTACCAATTCTTTTTCACTAATATTAAAAATAATATTTTTTATTGAGCAAAAAATAGGTGGAGTTGCCACTTATTTTTTCAAAATTATTTTCAGCCTTCAGACTTTTCGTTACTATSCACTTCCATTCTGAACAATTATTTTCAAGTGCAAGCTCCTTTATTCGCCTTTAATTTGATACTTATACTATATTACAGTTGTTTTTTTTTTTTATCAAATTGTTTGAAGATCAAACTGGTGGCAACTCTGCTCAAAATCGTACTAAACTGCATTTTTTAAGCTTCTAATGTTTAAAACTTATATTTGACTAATGCGTTTGTTATTAAAAAAGACGATTTAAATTATTTTCAAATTTAATAAGTGGCAACGCTACCGAAAAAATACAAATATTTATAAATTTTATTATTTCCTTTTAGTAAGTAGTAGTTTAGAGAGTAACATCAATAAATTCAAAGAAAATTTTCTTTCGTAACCTCACTCTGTTAGAGTCCATTGATTTTGAACTTCTTAAAAATATAAGTATATAAAGTATACAGTAATTTTAACACCAATTTTTTTTAACTATTTTAAACTTTGCCATTGAGATTTTAAAATTTGAKCTTTTGACTACCTATATTAATGATTAATAAGCTGAGCTTAAGCGCTAACAACCACTGCTTATAGCGTGAAATTTACATTACCTTGAATACTTTTTTCTTTGTGGTGAATATTAGATACACCAGGTGTAATAATTACGCTTACAAAGTGTGTCTATTTATTGTATGCAATTCCCATGAAGGTCTCAACGTTAATTTTAWAATTTTGATTAGATTAAAATAATTTTTAAACTCATTGCTGCAATATTTAATTACGGTAACAACTATAGCTGGTAATGTGATAATAAGGTTATAACTTGAGGTGCTTTATTTTTGAGTTTTATTGTGCAATATTTTGAAATAAATAATAGCGAGTTTGTCGCTTTAGCCTTTTGAACAAAGCCTTCTTGCTTGGCTTATGTTATGCCTGTAATTACGGGCTAAAATAACATTTAATTCGGAGTTAATTGTAGAATTATGTACAT